GGACTGTTGTTGTAGGATGAACTTTGACCAGGTTTCCCGCGCAACTGCGTAATAGCCATTTTACGAAAGTGCCCCTTAAAGCTGTCCCATAGTGCATTTCGAGACAAGACCGACCCGAACTCACCACACAAGCTCAAAACGGCCAACAGACCATTTCAGACTTGCTACAAGTCTCTGTTTCAAAGCGAGGCTAAGTGCGAAGCCATTGTCATGAAAATGAGTTTTATTCTCATGCAAATAAAACTCATTTTCATTAGAAAGGTTTTGTTCTTGGCCTCGTTTTGAAAGCGAGGGTTTTTGGAACCGGGAAATGGCCTATAAACTTCTGTAGTTTGAAGAACGTTTTCAAACATGAAAATGGCCATTTATTTCGTCGACATGTCAAAATGGGAAGCCTAAACCTGTTTGAAAAATACGTCTTTACGTACAATTTTATAAAAACCTATATAAGTGGATGTATCTTTGTATTTTTTCCTTAGGGCTTGATGGCAATACCTCAGCCCAGGAACGAGAAAGACTAATCAATCGTTTCAACGCTCAAGACAACGTCGAAGTACTTCTGTTTATGCTGTCAACAAGGTGTGCATTATTACTGTGATTACAACACCTGGGCCTCCAGGTTTGGGGTTTTGGCGATGGATTATTGTCCCAGGCTACGAGTGTGGGGTTTTGGCGATGGATTATTGTCCCATAACCGTAAAATACATCATTATTGCTAATTTATTAAAGTACACTTTAACCTTTTTTTAACCTTAGTATCAACAGAGCCGATACTCTCCACATTGTTTTCTATACATTTTCTGTGGTAATGATAAAGTGAATTTGTTTAACCATCAAGACCGTTTTCTCTTGTCGATCAATTTCATTTTTCAGTGTTTTAATTGAGCAGTGATACTTAGGGTTTTAAGGTTTAAAGAGTTCCTATACCTTTGCGCGTTCTTCCAATGATCCTGAGGTTTTTCATTATTTTTCCCGATAAGAATTAGAGCTGGTGTCTTAATAGATTTAAATACACTAGTTAAATGTCAATTTCCTTAGCATTTTCTATTTGAGTTATTAATTTTACGTTTTGGGGAAACTGCCCACCTACCCCTCCCCTAAGCCAACATCAACACTTACTTCTCACTTAGGGCAAAATTTTGGCTTAGGGGAGGGGCAGGTGGGCAGTTTCCCAGAAACGTAAAATAATCCAATGAGTCTTTGAATCTTGTTGTAGAGCTGGTTGCTTGGGAATCAATCTTGTTGGTGCAAGTCGCGTTGTTGTGTTTGATGCATCATGGAATCCTTGCCACGATGTTCAAGCTGTTTGCAGGTAACCTTTTGATACTTAACCATATTTCTTTGAATAACAGCCAGGGACGATTTTTTTTTTCGCACAAAAACCGGGCGATTATTTCAGAAGGAGACGTAAAAATAGTGTTCACAATTAGTAATTTCGTGCTAAATACATTGACACTCAAATACAGTGCATTGGTTTGCTTATGTATGTACGTTTAGTGGTACAAATTTGTCTTGTGCTTGTAAGAGAACCCAGTTTCTCTGGGAGCCATTTGACTATAGTCGTTATCACTTATCGTATGTTGTGTCGTGTTTTTTTTAATTAGTTAATAATTTTTCTTTCCGGCAGAGTTTATCGTTATGGCCAGTTAAAACCAGTTCATATTTACCGACTGATAAGCACAGGAACTATGGAAAAGAAAATTTATGATCGACAGGTCACCAAACAAGGCATGGCAAGTAAGGGATGACTTTATGTTAATGAAACCTGTCGTCTCTGTAGCTACTAAGAAGACATGGTGGCTCATTCACCACTTCAGAAGGAGACTGGACCCAGTTAATTTTCGCCAAGACTTGTGGGACCTTTTTTAGGGTCAGGGAAAAAAAATTGGCCAATAGCTGACCGGGGCGTCCGCAGTAACCATCCCAGAAGCAATTGCGGGACACATATTTCGACCCCAACTCCCTTCTCGTTTTTCTAATGTGGGAAATGCGGTTTCAGTGTTCTCCTTATCAGGCGGCATCCGGTAAAATAGTCCATTTTCGAGTTCGCTATGACCGCTGAATTAAAGAAGTGAAGACGCATTTTTTTTACAGCCTTAGCCTCCATCTGAAGTAATATATTCACAAATTTCAACGAGAAAAAGACCTGTTTATTACTCTGTCTATTGTGTATATTCAAATTTCAAACACTTACTTGCCAGAATTTCTGAATATTTTACTTTACGTCGAGGCCAACCCTGTATGAATGTGTCGTTAATGTTTGTATTCAGCGGTAAATTTTAATTCGAAACTGGACTATTTACTGCCAGAAGTAACACTTCTTACCAACTGCAACGGCCTGAATTTTTACTAAAATTAAATAAATACTTTTAAAAAATGCACAAGTTGTGATCCGATCCGATTCTCACATGCCACAAGGAAATGAATGAATATATGGAAAAGTACTGAAGTATACACAGCTTTTCTTTTTATGGGCCACGCATTTTGGAAAGAGAACATCCAAGACCAAGTAAAATGATTGGAATCAGTGGTTTAAAATTGTTGTGTAAAGGTAACAACGGCCGATTTGCGTAAAAGAGGTCTTAAAATGAGGGAATGACGTTTCAGAGAACTTAGCTCCCAAATTTCCCAGCAAGGGAGGGGTGATGTCCCGCACTCCACTACCCCCCTCCCCCCGGAAAAGTGCACCTGTCTTTTGCCTTGCCGGCTATGAATGATCCCTTAACTGCTGAGCTAAAATTTAGGGAGAATACTGGGTTTTCAGTTGAGTGTGGAACACTACAGTAAATTATTTTTAGCGATTTTTCGAGTTCGAGTTTGAATTTAAGTTCAAGTCTGAGTTTGAGTCCGTGTGCTATTTTGAGTTCGACTTCGATTTCCAGTTCAAGTTGAAGTTTGGGTTTGAGGATGATTTTGTCTTCTTTAGTACTATGGCGTCGAAAACAACAAAATTTAGACACTTATTGTGCCCTACTTATAACAGCCTTTGTGGGCTCGGAGAGAAGGCCCCCGCAATTTAGGGTCCAGAGCTTCAAAATGCTTTTATTTGTGGGGTAACCTGAGATCAGGCTCTATTTTCGTTTCCCTTTGAAAATTACATTCCGGCGGGCATGGCGAAACGAAAATAGCCGTTAAAAATAGCGGTAGCCGTTAGAGAGAATGTACGAAAACCGCTCAAATTGGGCCTGATCTCAGGTTATTTGTGGGATGTCGTCTTTCACGTTTAGCAAGTAACTCTGAATTATTTTAATTTCCAGATCGAATTGTCGACGAGCTCAATCCAGAGGCTAATTTCACCAAGCAAGAAATGATGAAATTAATTCATGAAAAGGTAAAGTGAATGTAATGTAAATGAACGTAAATGATTAATCATACTTTTCAGAAAGAAGCCTATCTTCATATAAAACAAGTCTTTAATTGTATTTTGTTTCATCCTTGGAGTGGAGAATCTCTTTTTCGATAGTATTTTGAAAGAAAGCAAACGAAACAAAAGAAGTACAAAGGAATTTTTTTCATGGAGCTCTCATTTATTATGACCTGAGGGGTTGGCAAAATTGTGCCTGTGGAGGGGGTTGGGGGTAGGTTATTTTGTCAGTCCACTGGGGTGCTCTCTAGGGTTTGAATGACTAGGGTGGGGTGTAAACTTTTTACTCACTACAGCGGGTTGGTTTGGGAAGTATTTTGCAGATATATCAGCGGATTTTCCGACCCTTCATCCCCGGGTCACAATCCCCTCTCTTTGGGGAAGCCCTCTTGAGTTTATTTTATTTGCTTTGTAGGAACCAGTCTCCCCCGCGTCTGACGTGTCAGCAGCCGCTGATCAGTTTAATGATCCAGTGCTGGTCAGGTTGTGTCGTCTGTGCAGCCAATGGATCTCAAAGGTTAGTGCCATCTAGAATGTAAAACAGGCGCTTTTTTCGCATTTTCAGGTGAGCACGAAGCGGACGTGGAGAGCGAGACACTCCCGTCGCGCGTGTCTCGCGGGTGTCTCACCCTCCCCGTCTGTTTTGCAGGCTAAGTTTTATCATGGTTATTTTTTATTTCACCCGTGCAATGTTTTTGGAATGTTTTTTAAGAGAGCCATGGTTAAAATTGTATGTAAATGTAACCCACAAAGCACTAAGTCCAGGCTTCCACCAGAGGAGATTTTTCCGCTTTAATTTCGTCACGATTCTGGAACGTTGCGGTACCAGATTCGTTTTGCGGCGCACACGCAGATGCGGGAATCCGAAATATGAACGGTTTTGTTTGATCGTGCGTCCAGAGAAATTGAATTCGGAATCTAAAGTGAACATTGGTGGATCCAGGGGATGGGCCCGAGGGCCGCACCCCCCCCCCCCCCCCCCCCCCCCCCCCCCCCCCCCCCCCGCCCCCGCCGGACCCTTTGGTTTTTTTTCTTTTTCTTAAAATTTACGGAACAAACCAGACCGAAAACACACACGTGAGAACCCCACTCCCACCACGACCCCGGTTCCCGCCCCCCGCGCGAGAAAAAAAAAACA